CACAGGAGAATATTACAAAACATTTAAGGAAGAGTTAATCCTCATTCTTCTCAAACTATTCCAAAAAATCCAAGAAGAGGGAAGACTCCCAATCTCTTTTGATGAGGCCAGCATCATCATAATCTGAAAACCAGATAAAGACCCAACAAAGAAAGAAAACTACAGGTCAATATCACTGATGAACATAGATGTTATAATCCTCAGCAAAATATTGTCAAACCACATCCAGTAATACATTAAAAAGATCATCTACCATGATCAAGTGAGATTCATTCAAGGGATGCAAAGGTGGTTCAATATTCACAAATCAATAAAGGTAATACATCACAAAAACATAAGGAATGACAGAAATCACATGATCATATCAACAGTTGAGGAAAAAGCACTGATAAGGTACAGCACCCATTTGTGATAAACACACACACACACACACACACACACACACACTCAGCCTAGTGGGAGTAAAGGAGGCATACCTGTCGCTCCCATCCATGTCCTGGATGGAGAAGCACTGAGCCTGGGGACTGATCAGCTCTCAGTGTGTCCCCAAGACAGAGACAGGAGGCCAACACAGAGGTGGAACCCTGTCCCAGGGCTGCTGGGCAGCGTTCTGAGCAGGTCTCTGAATGCAGTCCTGTCAGATGAGACCTACAACGTGTCTTGGCTTCACATGAAGAACCCACATGGATCATAAGACCGCCCTCTGCCATTCATCCAGGATCCCCAGAATCACTCCTCATCATCACCCCCTGCTTTCTACTGTCCAAACGCTCACTAACTCTATACTAGGTGTGAAGCCCCATGTGGCTGGGGCTCCACTCTCTTCTTTCCAGCCCTGGTAGTTTTTGCCTTAAGCGTCGCCCCCATCCCCTCATGCCCATCTTGTCTATCAGTCCCTCCATGAGAACCCAGGGCCAGGCACAACCAGCTGACCTGAAGCTGGCCTCGGCCACCTTTCCGAGCCCACACGGAATGCACGCATGTGATTCCAGGTTACTCAGTCTCCTGCAGGGCCAGCCTGTGTCAGGTGGAGACACAGCTGACGAGTGACCTTAGAGCACCCACAACAACACACATGTGCTGAGAGCACCTCCAGTGGCCCCATGAGCTGAAAAACATCATGGTGGACAAGCCCATGGGCAGCAGGGGTCAGACAGCAGTCAGGGAAGGGCTGAGTGGCCTGGTCACCTGCATATTACCAATGTCCCTGGTGACCAGTGGCCAGATATACAGGGATGCTGCTGTTATTTCTAAAATTGCAGGAACAGGCTTAATTTGCAGCTAAAACAGTGATTAGGAGAAATTTAATAAAGAGCAAAGAGTAATGACCTAAGTGTCCTACCTAAGAAGTTGGACAACAGACAAAGAATGTGAATTAAATGAGAACAAGCATTGTTGCACACACTTAAAATGATTTGTACACCTTTTCTTTGTACCACAATCTAGAAGTATCAGTAAAATTTATTGTATACTTACAGAGTCTACAACAAAAAAAAATATATACTGCATAAATGAAACCCACCAGATGTGCTCATTCTAGTGTGTGGTCTACACAGTCAATTCTAAGATATGCTGCCACCTTGTACAACATGCTGTGATGTTACATTCAGCCAATGTTCTCTTTTATCTCTTTCTACACCACCTCTTCCTTGCCTTAGTCCTCACCGGTCACTTTGACACTCTTGAAATAATTTCCTGGGTGTGGTCCTTCAGGCATCTCTACTTCACATTTCCATCACACCCTTTAGTGTTTGTGCCAAAACCACATGACACTTCAATGTCCCCTGTCAGGATGGACCACAGTTTATCATCCGTTTGCCCCCTCAAGGACATATTGGTTGTTTCCAAGTTTTGGCAAATGTGAACGGACCTGCTATGAACACTGTGTGCAGGTTTCTGTGTGGACCCAGTTGCCATTCTCCTTTGGGCAAATACCAAGGAGTAAGACTCTCGGGTCCTATGGTGAGAGTATGTTCAGTTCTATAAGAAACTGCTGAGCTGTCCTCCAGCGTGGCTGTGACACCCTGCACTCCCGCCAGCAATGACTGAGAGTGGGAGCTGCTGGCCACGCCCTTGGCTTGTCATAAAGGGAATGACAGTGCCTGTGGGGCTCCACACTGTGTCCCTGTTGCCCCCGCCCCGCGCCGACTCTGTGCTCACATCGTGTCGTGTTAGTCACCGTAAGTTTAGGTGAATCGCTGTGGTAGTATGGGTCGCTCCAAATGTGTTCTTCAAAATATTTTGCTGTTCCAGCTCTTTTGCATCCTCACAAAATGCTTACAAACAGCTTGTCTACTTCAAAAACGTGTTAGGGTTCTGACTGGGATTGAATTGAAACTGTGTTATTTAGGGACAATTGTCATCTTGACTATGTAGAATAGACCACAGTGTCTGGTCTATTGCCTCCTTCATTCATATTCTCTGAGCAATATTTTACAGCTTTCAGTGAACAGACCTTGTGCATCAGTTTAGAGTCACCCTAAGGGGTTTTCTCTTTGCTTTTATATCATCTCAGGTTTTTTGTTTGTTTGATTTTTTGCTTTCCAAATTTATTTTTCTGTTTGTTTGGGGCTTGTATTAGTTTGAATATATATATATATTCAGTTTCTTTAAGATTTCCTATGTAAACAATTGCATAATCTCTGAATAGAACCGTGTGCCTCTCCCGGAAGCCCCCGGCAGGCTCGTGGGGCAGGCTACGGCGGGGTGTGAGCACTGCCATGAAGCTCAGGAGGCAGTGTGGCCAACACCTCGACAGTGACACCTGTCGTAGCACCACCTCCGGCCGGTTTCCAAGGCTGCACTGTGGGCCCTGGCAAGACCCTGGGTCAGGTCTTCATTACCAGGCTGCATGGGGCTCAGCAGGTTCCACTGCTCCATTTACAACCTTCATTGACCCCCTTCCCCACCCCGCGTCAGAGCGACTCTGAACCCAGCGCATGATTAGGTTTTTAGAGGAAAGCTGGCCGGGCCTTTGAGAGCCTCGAGAACAAGGCCCCCTCGCCCCAGCAGGGCCCTCTCCTCTGCCACCATGTCTGGACCTCCCTGTGTGCAGCGAAGAAAACAAGGTGGCTGCAGAGGAAGAGCTCACGTGGGTCAGTGTCTCCTCCTTCTGGGCCTCATTCAGACCTTACAGTGAGCCAGGAGAAACCCCATGATGGTGTGGATGAGGGCACTGGGTCTGCCGTTTCTAGACGCAGGTTCCTGCAATACAGGTAGCCCCTCTGTGACCAGCCCCCTCGATCTCGTTGTCTCTCCCCACAGGGTGAGGGCAGTGGCCACAGCCCAACCACAAGGAGTAACATAAGGGACCGACTTCCCACCCACAGGCAGACCCTTCGTTCCCAGCCAGGCTGCAAGCTCCCAGGTGCGGCTGGGGGACTGCTGGGAAGGCTTCCCGGTGGTGCCTCTGCAGCTGCCCCCGTGGGCTCCCCTGGGACAGTCCCAGGGGTGAGGACCAGCCTGCAAGCAGACGTCCCACAGCCGTCCCCACAGGGGCTCTGTCGGGGGCGCGCCACGGCCTGAGGGGCCAGGCCCTGCCGCGGGCACAGCTAGGGATGCTGCTGTCCTCCTCCAGGTGCCATCCTCGGCCCATGGGCTGGGGCAGCCTGGGACACTGTCACCCTGTGGTCCTCTTGGCAGTGGCCCAGCTTTGCCCAGGGACCAGGACGGGCAGCGGTCCCACACCCATTAGCCAACCTGCAGTGGGTCCAGAATGTGCTGGGAAGTGGTGACGTGCCCTGCCCCAGCCAAGGGTGCCGCCGCCCGGGGGGACGGCACACGGACACCCAAGGCCAGAGGTTAAGACCACAGGCCCGAGGACATATTGGCTGATGACGTGTTCAGCTGAAGAAAAACCCAGCAGAGACACAGCCACGTACCACGGGTGCAGAATTGTCACCAAGCAGGAACTCTCCCCTAAGGTGCCCCATGTGCAGCGGTCACCGGTCCTGCGCCATCCTCCTTGCTGAGTCATACCTGGGGTCTCTCCAGAAGGAAGGGTTTCCGTCCACCCACCTGGGCCACTGGGTGCTGAGCTGCTCCCACCCCGCCCCCATCAGAGACGCCCCCTCACCTTGCTGTGCTCGGCTGCATAGGACCCTAATCTGCAAGCAGAACGCAAACCCAGGCCTGTTTCCTTTCCCCTGGGGGTCCCCCGGGGCTGAGGACACTCACCTGTGCCCCTCTTTCCCTGAGGTTCATGCAGAGGCCTGTTGCTGGGGACTGAATGTTGTGTGTCTGACTCACAAGTACCTGCCCTGTGCCCCTAGGAACACAGGGACAGCTGCCATTGTCTTTGTTGTCTGGAGGGGTGCTGGTGTGCCACTGGCCCTCCGTGTTGGCTGAAGTAAGTAATTAAATCCAATCAATGATTATGGGCATAGGGGCTCTGGGACTGATGGAAGATCCACCATGCCCATGCCCAGGGGCCTGCCTGTGAGCACCCTTGTCCCCACGCCCACCTGGGGTCCAACTTGCCCCAGGACAGGCCTCAGGAGGAACCTGGCTGCAGACCCGGGGCCGTGCTTCAGGGGGCTGTGTGCATCCAGGGCCTCACATCAGGGAGCGATGCTCAGGCCACGCTGGCCCTGACTTCCTGTTTGAATCAGTCGCACAGGGGCCTGCAGAGCCTGCTGAACCTGCTGACCAGGGAAATGCCTGGCTCCTTCCTCCCCTTCCCTTCCATGCTGGGTCCCCACGGGGTCAGCGTCTGGGAGGCCTGAGGGTGCACAGCAGTATCCACAGAGACAGGGAGTCATTGCCCTCATTGCTTTTTTTGTCCTCGGGTGTCCTGTCCCAGGTGCAGCTGCAGGGCAGGGCTCCAAGGCGGTGCAGCCCTGGCAGACCCTGTCCCTCCTGGTGCCATCTTGGGCACAGTGTCTCCAACAGCAGTGCTGCTTGCAACTGGCTCAGGCAGCCCCCAGGGAGAGGGCTCCCACGGCTGAGAGGGACATGCTCCAGATCCAAGTGGTAAAGCGATTACACACTGTCTCTTAAAGGTCAGTCCGTCATCAACCCAGACATGTCCAGGAACCAGGATTCCCTGCAGCTGAGCTCCATGAGCACCGAGGACACAGCCATGTATTACTGTGTGACAGACAGTGAGAAGATGTCAGCGTGAGCCCAGACACCAACCTCCCTGCAGGAGACAGGAGGGCTGGGCTGCAGGGGGCACCCAGGACACCAGGGGGCGCCCAGGGCCCAGAGAGCAGAGCATCCACCAGGAGCAGGAGCCGCTGAGGCTAAGCCCTGGGTCACCATGCAGTCTGGGGTTTCCTCTTCACCTGACATTGGCTCCAGTATCTTCTCCAGAGTCGGGATTGGGACACGGACAGGACAGACACCTCAGCAGCCAACGGCAGCTCCCAGGGCTTGCCTGCGCTCAGCTCACAGAGCGGTAGTCAATGCTGACGGGGAAGAAAGGCCCGATGGTGGGGGTGGTCACTGTCCCAGCACCCCGCACGCAGCGCCGGTGGCTGCGGCCCCTGGGGAAGCCCGGAGGGGCTCCCACCCTCAGTAGCTTCTGACATGGAGTCTGATGATGTCCACACACCAGGGATCAGATGGAGCTCAGTTCTGACGTGATCGAAGTCTCAGGAGGGCCGGGCAGGCCTGTCCAGCAGCAATGAGGTGGCTTCTGAGAGCTGGCCCAGGAGCTTTTCTCAGGATTTGCTGTGGCCAGAGGGTGAGGGCCAATGAGGGTCTCGTATTGGGCAGGGACTGGGTTGGTTGACTCTCCCGCCAGGGGCAAAGGAGCGATCACCCAGGATTTCTTATCAGTGGGTCCCGATGAGGGAAGATGGGGAAGCAGGGGGTGAGGCTTGAACACTCCCAGACGTCCAGCATCAAAACCTGAGCTCAGACTCCAGAGCCCACCCAACAATTGTAATGAGAAGGGAGAGGGGGTAGGCATGCCCTGGGGGCTCAGCCACCCAGGATTGTGAGCTCGCTGGTAAGGACACACCAGGGACTAGACAGGGGACTTGGTGGGACCCTCCGAGTGGTAGTTTGCACTGTCTGAGATTTTTCTCATTGTATCAGAGGTCGAGGGTCAGCGGCCTCCTTCCATGGAGCGTAGCTTCTGGAGGGTCCAAGATTCCTGAGTTAGGCTTCCTGCACTGGAGCCGTCCTCAAAGGTGTGGAGTCCGCATTTTCTCCGTGAGCTGTGAGGGGTGACCCCACAGTCTGCTCTGGAGTTTGACTGCGACCTGTGTTGTCGACACACACGTTAGGGTCTCATCTGCGAGGTTCATCAGCCGTTTCCCCTGATTCCTCATTCAGCAGATAAATCTCCTAGAGTAAGGCCCTGGAGACGCTGTTGAGGCCGATGTGGGGGAAGGCCATCTGAGTCTGCTGAGAGGGCAGGATACGTGGGTCACATGAGAGTCCATTTATGGGTCTATTTGACTGACAGTGGGTGCCCCCACATTTGTTCAAACAGTACCTGGGTGTTTCTGTGAGATATCTTACATCAGTGGACTGGGCAGACGCCCTTCCTAACGTGGGGGCCCCGCCCGACCACTGAAGGCCAGCAGAGGGAAACCCTATTGAGTGGGTCAGAGCTTTGGGACCTTATGACAACCAACCAACCACAGGGACACCATGCCCAGAAGCCACTGAGGGGTCGAAAGAGAATCAGACTATGTTCCAGGCCTGGAGCCCCAAGGGTTCAGGAGGAAGCCTGTCCTGAGAAAGGCAGGGCCCTCTGCTGCCACAGCCTCGGGCACCCAGGTGGGCGGAGCACGACGCTGGATGAGGCAGCCAGGACGGAAGGCACCGGGGTTTCCCCTGCCCCGGGCCTCCCTGCACCTGCACCGCCTCCCCTGCGCATGCTCCACATCCTGCTGGAGCAGATAGGATGAAGTTGTATCAGGGGACAGGTTGGCCCCAGAGAGGGGATCCCCAAGGTCTCCGTCACTGTAATGGCCCAACCCCAGGCAGGCTCAGAGAAGACAGCAACCACAGTGGGATGGTACAGATGTGGCCAGGGAGGGGCTGGAGGCAGGGTCAGAGGCCGGCACCCAGGTGGGGCGAGGCTGTGCTGCCCTTCCAGACATCCTGTGGGACAGCAAGCATAATTTGGACCCTAGAATCCCAGGATCAGGGACAGTGGGAGCCAATGCCCTGGCAGGGGTCACCCGCTGGCCACTGGAAGGCCAAAGGCCTACAGTGCCCCTACACAGGTTGGGGCAAGTTATCAACCCAGAAGGCTGTCACCATAGGTTTGGGCTCCAAAGTGGGGACAGGCAGCAGGCCAAGGTGGCTGTGCCCTGCCAAGGAGCCTCAGGACAGCCGGGCATGGCCCCATTCACCAGCTGGACAGGGCCCCAGCCCTGAGCCCGCCCACAGCCTCCCTGGGGCTCCGCCTCCCTCCATGGGTCAGCCCTGAAGCCCAGGCTCCCTGAGGCCCGGCCCCATTGTAGGGGATGTGGGGTGGGGCTGTCACTGTGCAACCCTCTACGAGATTATTGCTGATGCAGCTCACATCCGCCATGTCACAGCACCCATCAAACACCCTGCTGGGAACCCAGGCCGTGCCCTGCCCCCGCCCCTGGATTTTGAACGGGGCCCCAGCACCAGGGGTATGGTGGCACTACAGGGGTGCGGCCCACAGCACAGACCCCCAGGGCGGCAGGCGCAGGGAAGGCACGGCCCCCACGGCGTCCCCGCCCAGGGACCTGCCCTGCCGACTCCATGGGACCGTGACCCCGATGTGCGCCCCGTGCAGGCAGGCCCACCAGACTCTGGGGCCAGGGGCCTCCGCAGGGAAGGGCCCTCCCACCACATGAGGAGCTTTTTGCCACACACCCTCCCACCTTGCTACCCTCGTTACTATAGCTACTACAGTGACAGACCTGGTGCCCTAAACCCAGCCATACCTCTGGGCCCTCATGCCCTAAGGGGCTGCTCCCCGGGTGGTCTGCCCCCCTGGGCCCTCAGGGCCACTTCCAGCCAGCCCGGCAGCCAGGGCCTGGTGGGCTCCGAGGCGCCTCACTGACCCCGCACGCTCTGAGGGTGCCTGAGCCCAGCGAGCACCAGTGGGAGCCACGCCGTCCGAGGTGCCCCGGGGCCAGCAGCCCGAGGTGAGGCTCCCCGCAGGCAGGACCTCAGTCAGCACAGCAGACAGCCTCAGGGGGGCTGACAGGAGAGAGCCCAGCTGGAGCTTGACTGTGGGACCCATGGACCAGCCGGGCAGGGTAGGGTGTATGGGGCTGGGAGCGTCTCCAACCCACTGCCCGTGGATCCCAAAGCCGGGGTGTCCTGGCTGCACCTGGGGTGTTGCAGGAGCCTCTCCTGTGGAGCAGGGCTGTGCACGCTCTTGGCCGCCATGCATCTCATGCACCAATGAAAACTGGGCCACAGTGAGGGGAAGCCCCTCAGAGGAGCTGCCCTCCACAATCCAGAAGCACAGGGCCTGCTCCCCTGATCGGGCTGGGCTGCCCGGTTCCTAGGGGAGGGTGCTGCCCAGGGCCTCCCCCCGTCCTCAGCCCCAGGGTCGCCCCAGCCCCCACTCTGGCTGCACACCCCTACGCTCTCGGACCCTGTCCACCTCCAGGCTTCCGGGCCAGGGCTGCCCCACCGGGTGGACCTTCCCGGGAGGGCAGCTTCAGGTATTAGAGATTGTGACCCAGGGTTTGTCAGCAGGCCCAGTCCGGCCTCTGTCACTGTGGGTGACTGGAGGAGCTCCCACAGTGACTTGGCCCAGGCTCAGAACCCGCTGCCGCCATCTGGCCACCTTGTCCTGCTCAGGCCTGGGCCTGTCCCCTCCTGCCGCCCTCCCAAGAGGCTGGTGACCTCACAGTCAGCTCCTGAGCAGACAGAGGGACACTGCGGGCAGAGAGCCACCCACCACCTGGCCGGTGTCCAGTGCAGCATCCAGGGCAGTGCTGACGAGCCTCCAGCCCTGACAGGTGTCCACCACTCCCGCCCAGAGCTGGCTCTTCTCCCTCCCCAGGGTCCCAGTCCCTGCCTCCTCCCCGCACCGGCTCACCCCTCCTCTTTCCACGGGAAAGGGAGTGTGAAGGAGATCTGGAGCTGAGCTGGCGCCCCAAGAGCTCCATGACCCCACCCACTTCTCAAGCAACCTCAGGGCTCTGTTCTGTCACCTAAGTCCCTGCTCCCCTGGCCCAGGTCCCCGCGCCGCAGGGCCAGTGCAGACAGTGTTGCTGGGTGCAGGGCAGGGGCTGGAGCAGCTGTGGAGATGCGGGGGAGCTCAGGTGACGATCCCCCATGCCCACCCCGCCCCGGTGGAGGGGAGATTCTGCATGAGACCCTCTCAAGGTGGGAACACCCCCACCGTGGCTCAGGCCAGACCCAAAATCTTCTCTGTGAGCCTCTGCTCCTCTGCCCTCAGGAATACCCCTCCAGCAGCCCCCCCACCCTGTGATGCAAGGACACCAGCCCAGGGCTCAGGCTGCTGCCCCCACCCGGGGTGTCTCTGCCTCAGAACCCACGAACCACAGGCTCTGAGGCAGAGAAGCCCCAGATGGACTTCCAGCCTCACACACTGGGACCTGGGACCACCAGGCCTCAGGAGACAAATCCAGCAAGGAAGGACCACGCCCCTCCTTCAAGGCCAAAGAGCACAGAGTGAGGTGCTGAGCCCCGAATAGGCCAGGGGTTTCTGGTCCTGCCTGTGATACTGTGATACAGTGGAGGCTGATACCGCGGTGACACCCTCCCGGCCAGAAACCCTCGCTGGAGAAAGCCGCTGAGCCCGCACCCCGGGGTCTGAGGTGCAGCACCGCCCTCCCGCCGGGCACAGGCCCCACACCCTCACCTTACGCCCTGGGAGGGCCACAGCCTGAGGAGGGGTCCTGGGCCAGCACATGGCCGCTGGGGCCCGGAGGGGCCCCACCCTTCCCAGACCCCAGACGGCGGAGGTGGGGCTCAGGCTGCCTGCAGCTCCCAGGGCCCCAGGCTGCTCCTCAGACCCGCCCTGGCGCCCCGAGCCCAGGCCTGCGGGCTCAGCCCTCGCCACAGGAAGCCCACCCCCACCGCAGGGGCCCTGAGCCCACCAACTGAAGGGTTCTGAGCAGAGGCAAGTCACAGGGGGCTCAGCGGGGACCCCCACCCTGAGAGAGTCTGTGGCTGCCCCCGTCCCCATGCCCTCCAGGGACC